AGATGATAGAGGGTGCCATGGCATTTAGCAGCTGAGCTGTGGACTTGAGGATAGCTCTGCCTCCCATTAAGGATAACATGCCCCCTAATTGGTCACTTTAGTGCTAATTTGCTGAAGGGAAAGGGATATTGGAATGAACACTAGTCTGCTTCAGTCTGTGTCTAAAAGAAGGGCTTTCAAGAGAAGTGCCCTCACTCATGCATTTCCCTTATAAAGTAAAGAGGCTGTGAGGCACAGCTTTCTGAAATTCATTAACAGCCATCACTTTCCAAGTCATGAGGTGCTTAAGAGCAACAACCCATGCGATCTTCTAACTTCTCCTTAAAAGCTTGGCACATGAATGAATGGTTAGGAGAGACACTTAGTCAACTCCAGAGCTTTTATTTAAAAAGTCAAGAAGAGTAAGAGAAACAGAAGGTTGCATTAAAACAAAAACACAACGTTATTTGCCAGCAGGCCCTTTCATGTGACATCCTAATCAGATACAGGTCTGGGCTTCCCGTGTTCCACATGTTTGCACAAACAGTGGTACTTAACCCGCTGTCTGGCTCATAGATGTAACTGTAAGAAGAGATTACTGTCATTCCTGTTAGGTGGGAATAAACCAGGCTTGGCAATGCTTTAATAAAACTGAGGTCATATACCTGTGCAAAGATGATGAAAAGGAACAGCTAGTTGTGCTAGGTGACCCTGTGCTGGAACATAAGATCAGAAAGTCCAGCAAGACTTTAGTCAAGCTGAGATCATGCACCAGGATAAAGAAGACTTCCATTGGATGTGCATGGCCTTCAATGAAGCTCCTCGGACACCAAGAAGTCTCAGGATTATGTCAATTCCCAGAAATTATAAAACAAAAACAAAAATACAGGAATTCACCTTTGTCAATACAGAACTGAATTTTAGTGAGAGAAAGTGGGGTGAGAGAAAAATTGGAGGTTTAGAGGGATCAAAAAGAGAATGCAACTCAAGAGTTGGAGTTCATGTCTTCTTTGCTTAATTTTATTTTTGCTTAGCTCTAAGTTTTCTAGATCTTTGCTTGTTCTGAGGCCTTTGGAGCCCAGTTAACTTTTTTCAGTTTTTCTCACTCCTGTATGAAATAACTCTCCGCAATGCTGCTACACAACATTTGGCAGTGACTATGGTTTCTGGAATGCTCCCATTGGCATACTGGATCAGCTACTTTGATCGGTTTCCTTAAGTTCAATCTTTCATCTATTAAAAAAAGTATTATTATTATATTGCAGCATTTCTCCAAGTCAGCATGCAACAGTGGTGTGTTGTCACACCACAGTTCTTGTAGCAACATTAGTAGAGACAAGATATGGCCAAAACAGCAAAGGCTATGAATTAGGAAGCCAAATAAATATCCATTTTTCTGTCCCCCTTCACCAACTAAGAACGACATACCCTGTTTCATAGATGCAGAATAGAAATACACACACACATCATGACCTAAATATTATTCAGAATTTATGTACCAAATGAGAATTTGTATGCAAAGAGCAGTATCAAATAACTGTTGCATTAAATCCAAACTTCAGAGGAGCCACATTTTGAAATGATTATTTCAGCCTATATTATTTCAGTCTCTAATGAATGCATTATTTGGGATACATCCAACATAGTTAATAAGGTAATATTTGTAAAAGACTAATATTAACGGCTGCTCCTGCAGCTACCTTGCCGATTATACAAATTACAAAGAACACTGTGCATACAAATGCACAAAATTAAGCAGGCAAACAAAATAAAATAAATAAATAAATAAATTATACCAAATGCAGGCAGGATATGCATTTGACTTCAAGTATCCAACAAACTTCAAGGCTGACTGAAACTTCTCATGCATAGAGGCTACTTCAGGTTTTGAATTAAAATTAAACAACTTGTCATGGATTTTCAAAGCTAAAAAAGGCAAAAGCAAAGTAACAAAATGAAAACCCCAATGAGATTTTATTCCAGGTTCTTACCATCCTTTTATTCTAAAATATAGTTTAAATAATTATCTTAATATTATTTCCCCAAAAGACCTATTTTGAATCACTTTTAGTATCAGCAATCGGTGGACTTCCCTTGGGTTGATTTGAAGCTGGGTTCAATGTATAAAAGTATTTTTAAAAGAAACTATAAAATAGCTGAACTGTGGCAAAAAGGGAGCTCATCTGGTAGCTCCCAAATTATTCCTCTCTCTGCTCCCTTTCTCTGTGTCCAGAGAGAAAATGCAGCTTCATAACTTCATAGGGCTACTACCTTTTTTTTTTTTTAATGTATTTTTATTAAATATTTTCTTGGTTTACAAAAGTATGTGCAATGTCTCTCTCTCTTTTTTCAAGTAACTTTTTTTACAGATCAATTTTATTTGTTGAGACATTAGGAAGAAAAGGGGGAAAGAGGTAGGGGGAAAAGGTGAGTGGGGGGTGGGGTCGGGTGGTGATTTTTCTATTTTACTTAATATATGTGGGGTTTTGTGTCAGCATTGCTTGTGCAGGTTCTCTGCTATTCACTTGTGTTTCTTTGGTGGTGAGAGAGGTTGGGGTTGGCCTAGGGTGTGGTTGTTTGTTTGTGATTGGCTCTGGTGATCTTTGTTTTCATGTGTGAGTGGGGTGGGTGGGTGTTTTGGATCAGGTTAGCCATATTGATTTGTATGTTGTTGGTGGATTTTAGTCATTGTCTTGTTGGGCTGTGTATGTGATACAAGGGGAGCCATACCGGGGTGAAGGCGTCTTCTTCTATTTGTCCCCGTGTCAGTTTCAGTTTATTGGTTGATTTTTCTAGTAAGGCTGTTTAGGGCTACTACCTTTGAAAGTGACTCTGAAACTACAATGAATCAAGAATGAGGCAGCTAGACTGGCGACTGGGAGCAGCTGCCAGGACCATATAACACTGGTTCTTAAAGACCTACATTGGCTCTCAGTATGTTTCTGAGCACAATTCAAAGTGCTGGTGCTGACTTTTAAAGCCCTAAATGACCTCAGCCCTGTACACCTGAAGGAACATCTCCACACCCGGCACTGAGGGCCTTATGATGGTTTACTAACTGCAAGAAGTGAAGTCATAGGGAACCAAGACAAAGGAGTGTTCCACCATGGTTTATTACAAATTATGAGATGTACAGTGAACTTGTACAACTCAGCATGCATCCAGGGTCTTATCTATCAGGAAAAGGTGCCTCTCCTTTTAAAACAGTACATTTCACAACACACAGGTAACAGAGGAGATCTGTCAATTTATGCCCCCCCTTCTTACATACGTCAGCACAATTAAGTTGTGTCCATTATATTAATATAAAAGAAAGTGGTGAAGTGTTTCCAATCTCCAAAATACTCCTCTATGACCCAGCTAAAGGTAATAGCAATAGGAACAAATGTGGGTCATCACCTAATTGCCATTTCAGGCATACGTAAATAAATTCCTGAAAATTGTGAATGCTCATTTTTCACAGGATTAGTTCCTTTGGCTGCTGTATTAGAAATATTAGCTGTTATATGTTTATATGTTATATGTTTATATGTTATATGTTATATGTTTAGGTTTTATCATTTTGCTTGTGTTTTATTGGTTTACTTTACTTAGTGTATATGAACCACCTTGTGATTTCTACTAATGAAGAGTAATTTAAATATACAAACAAGTGATCCACACTTCCAGCCCTAGCAGAAGCAGTTATACCTACTTCTCAGAAGTGAGTAGAAAGGGTGTTGCTATGGATTTAAAAGATTTGGGGCATAGGATCATACACATTAATTTACATGCAGACATGTATGCATTCAAATCTGACGCAAATCAAGTCAAATAATTTCCCAAATGAAATCCCCCCAGATAAATTCTTCAGTTAATTTGCAACACACCTCACATTATCCCATGTCTATAATCTACCCCATTAATTTTCCAGTGGACCTTGTTTCAAATCAGTTATATTACCTCCAGTTATCATGCCACAAATAATTTCTAGGTAAATTAATTTAAGACTATTTCCTCAAATTAATATCCTATCCAGTAACCCAGATCAGCACACCTGCCCTGCCACTACTTCACTACACTCCCAGAAACAGGTTGGTCACTTAGGAAAACATTCAAGTCAAGTGCTTTGTCGACTTACAATGTTTGTCGACTTAGCAATGTTCCTGGTGAGCACCCTACCCCCATATAATCCAGTGGAGGCAGGCAATATAATATGCACAATCCAACTTTAGAATTTAACCATTGACATATGTATTTAAGCTATTTTTAAACCATACATTTTGTTCTGAACATCCTAAGCAGATGGAAAGAGACAATGGAGTGGAAGAAGAAAGGGCTCTTTCAGATCTTATTTTAGGAAACGTGTGAATCACTTCTATTTGGACAGTGAGAGCAGTAATATTTCATCTCTCTTTTGATTTGGTGGAATAGGAGGAGAGGCCCAGTTTACATTTGGGGAGAGCAAGAAGAGCTCTAAATTTTGAAGCTTATTTACATAGATGGGGATGGAGGCAGAAGGCACCTCGTATGACTGCTGCTTGCCTCTGTTCTTTGTACACAACTGCCAGATCTCTTTTATGATATGTACATTTCATTTACCTAATAATTTCAAATGCTCTGCTTGTCTACTGACCTTTGGTGACCCCGTTTCATTCTTAACTGGTCTATACTGTCTATCCACATTGATCTGTGGACAAAGCACTGTCAGATATAATCAATATATCATTCCTTTAGTAACAAGACTGGGTTTTGCTCAGTTTTCTTTTTTTTTGGAGGAGATCAATATTCCTAAAATGATGCATTGTATATTCAGAAGAAACTAATACCAGTCTTCATGCTACTTAACTACAATAACATGCATTTTAAAAAAATAATAATAACAAAATTAGTATAAATAAATATGTATACTATTTAAGCCTATAGAATTAGAAAACCTACATTAATAGGTACAGGACTCTGGTTGTCTTTATACGGACTCAGTGTTATTTATTTGATACTAATCACTCTTGTTTCTTTACCCCACAAGTTTTTGTTTTGTTGTGCATTCTAGAGCTGATTGAACTGAAGTGAGAACATGGAATGTTTCTACTCCCTCCTTTTGCTGCATAATACGTATTTTTTAACACCACGTAGCTGAGATTTCTGTACACATTATGATCTTGAATGTACATTTTTAAAATGGTACCAAAGACTTGGCTTTGAGGATAGTGTGTAATTTGGGTTATGTCATTTTCTTCTACAAGCTCTTCAGGATACCACAAAACAACAACACTACATTATATTAGTTCTGGGGCCCCCAATGTAGCACTTCTAGGCACCACAGCGCCTTCAGAAAAAAACCCTCCATGGCACCCACAATTGTCTCTGAATTCTGTTCCTCACATTTTTCAAAAAATGTTGTTTTGCTTTTGGAGAAGTTGTTTGGTTGGGGGTGGGGTTGTCTATCTGTCTGGGAGTTGTCTGCTGTTTCTTCTTTTGTATCTTATTTGTTTTGGGGGCATGGGTATGGTGACTTTTTTTTAGGGGAGGGAGGTTTTTTTACCATCACCAGTTTTTGTCTGTGAAATGGGTATTTTATAGTGCCCACAAAAAAGTTTCTTAGATTTCCAAAATCCCTAGATTATCAAGTCTGAACAATGGGGCTTAACAAAAGTGAATATTAGACTATAAGATTAAAAGAGAACACCAGTAGGTGTTGCAATTTGGAACATATAACTCTATACAGTGGTACCTCGGTTCTCGAACGAAATCCATTCCGGAAGCCCTTTTGGCTTCCGAAACGTTTGGAAACGGAGGCATGGCTTCCCACTTCTTGCACTCAGCGGAAGCCACGTCACATGTTTGGCTTCTGAAAAACGTTTGAAAATGGAAGTATTTACTTCTGGGTTTTCAGCATCCAGGAACTGAAACATCTGTCCAGATAATGGCATGGTTCTCTCTAGTGTGTGTGTATCTCTCTCTCTCTCTCTCTCTCTCTCTCTCTCTCTCTCTCATCAATCTATCTATCTTACCATTCTCCTTTTCTAGCCACTCCACATTGGTTTTCCCATTTTTCACCTCCCAGTAATCAGCATTCCATGGGCACAGACCATGCTCAGTATTCATAGAGGTTTTTTTGGTGGTCCCTCCCCTATTAGGGTTTCCCCAAAAAATATTTCTTGTACTTCTGCAAACCTCATAGTTACCCCAAATTCTCCAATGCCTCTCTTTTGTGAATGGGTTTTGTGGCTTTGACTATACAAGTGTCAATGCTCAAAGACTTGAGATAGGTATGGTGATGGTGTTCTTTACTGTTTGAAAAATATTAAAAGTGTACATTTCATAAGGAAAAGTACTAAATAAATGCAGCACACTCCTTTTCCTTCCTTATACTCATGTAACACAGCAATATTAACAAATATGAGTGACCAGGTAGACTTATTTCAAGCAGCTGCCACTACTTTCAAACTTTTGTCTGACACTGGCTTCCAGAGAACTGAACAAGAAGCTCAGGTAGTGGGGAAGAGGAGACAGTTTGAATCAATGGAACTGTGTGAACATTTTCAGGCGCCACTTGAAAGTATTAATGACATACAGTCATTTGCTGACGATATGTCGATTCTCTATCCAATGGAAAATTACCGGCCATGAATCAAATAAACATTTACAGGAATCTGCAAATGAAACAGCTAAATCCATGATGACAAGGAGCCTCATAAAAGTGGCCCATTTATTCTCTCTGAGCACTCATCCCCACTGTGGGGGATCAATAGCAAACCTCATACAATGCATTTCTAAATGTCCTGCTGCAAATCCTCTTTGCATTTATGCAAAGAGAAATACTCCACCAATCCCCCCCCCCGACTTTTTAAATAAATAGCCATATACTATTAAAGGAACAAAACCAATATCCAGTGGAAAGAAAACCCGTTTCCCCCCGTAACTACAATATAGTCCATAGGGCTCCCATAGTAGCAGTGCTATGTAGCATAGAAGTTATGTTGGCATAGGAGAAATGAGATTTTAGTCACAAATTAAACACAAGGTTTGTCTGTTTAGACAGAGAACTTTGGCGGCAGCAGCAGTGATGTACACAACAATAATTTTGCCCCATTTATTTTCTACTAAATGTGACATATTTTTCACCAAAATATGTCACATACAATTCTTGTTCCAATAACACTTTATTCCACTCAAGAAGTGAAGATTAATGTAATCAAAAACAAACAAACATTAAAGCTTATATTTAAAAGCAAATAGCTGCCACCTTCAGAACAAGCTATATATATTAAGCAAAAGTAGCATTTGATGCCAATTAAACAAAAACATGTCTATTTCAAGGCTATACTATCGAAGCACATTGGACAAAATGGACAGAGGTTCAACATGCCAGAATTTGAAGTATGACATGCAGATAAAATGCCAGGTGTCCCTGATGGCACTTTTCAGAGCCCATCAGCCAGAAAGGCATTAGGACCATGTCCCGTGGTTACTAGGCAACAACTCATGAACCCTCCCTTTTCTCAAAACCATTAGATCAGGGTTTAAGTGCAGCTTCTGGTCTATCTACAAAATAAACGGGGAGGAGGCAGAGCTGCAGTAAGGCTCAAAGTTGTTCAAAATGGGAGGGGGCTTAAGGGGTTATTAGCCTGAGCCTCTTACCGCAATACAGATATCACTTTCCAGTATATGGTACACCACAATGTGTGTAAACCACAGGACATATCTGTAAATTAGATTTCAACATTTTACCTGTCATTATCTTTTTTTGTTTGTATACTGCTTATTAAAGTTATTAATATTGCATATGTAGACCTGTAGCACAGGTACTACAGGTTACACGGAAAGGGGGAGGATGTTAGGATATTTCTGTTCCACCTTAATGGTGGAACGGAGAATATATCCTAACAGACTCTACATGCTAATTTTAAAGAACTGAGTGTAATTAGGTGACTCATGATTTTTCCAGTAGGCTTCAAAACTAATTCTACAAAAAATGTGCTCCAGAAGTACTGCTTATTGTAGTATCGGCTTTAAATTAAGTGTTTATATATAATGCATTTAATTGCTTAAAAGGTCCTCTCATGGATTCTGCTCTTCCAAGCATAGGACTGCATTCTCTCTCTTTTTGGGAGGATGGGTAACAAATGTAATAGAAAACCATTCCTTTTGTAACAATATAGCACTGGATATAAAGCTCACATGAAACACATGGCAATTCCTTCAAGATATATATATTTTTTTAAAATGAAAGCTATTGGGAAAAGTATGGACAGAAAACAAAATATCCGAATTCTTGACCTTTACAGGGGAAAACATCCCAGCTTGCAATTGTTTCAAGGGGGTTTTGTTTTTGTTTGTTTAGCACTGCTGTTTTCTCACTTTTGGAATATTTTATATTCCTTTCTTCCCCTATCATCATGAGCATTTTACTCAAATTATTAAATGCAATGTTTATATGGTCATCAATTTTTTAAAATGTGTTGAAAGAATGGCAACATTTCACAAGCTGTGAAAAAGGATTTTGGTTTGGGGGATGGCCTGAGAGGCAATAGGCCAGCAGGATAGCACTGGGATTAGCCCTAATTACCTCATGTTTCACCTTAATTAACTACTGATACAGAAGGTAAACTCGGCAGGATCTATGGAGAGACCTTAGGCCAGTAGGCAAGATATCTAAACCACCATTGTTTACACATTATAATCTCTCTTTTGAATTCCCTTTAATTCCTTGAAAAGATTAGCTGTGGGATACACTGTGCATATTGATGAGCTATGTTTAATAGATAAACTGTCATTTTTATATTTCTCGCACAAATAAACACACACCAAATAACCCCTGAAGAGTCTCTTGGTTTGTTGGCAAATTGCCAAATGAACAGAACATGAACTTTGTTAATGGCACATGCACCATAATATAAACATGAATGGGCCTGGCAAGGGCCCATAAATGGTTACATGTAAACCTGCCTACATGATTGTGCTACTACACTAAGCATGACAATTACTCTTGAATGTGGCCTTAGGAAACAAACGTTAAAAAGGAAGATTTGTAGGTACAAAAAAGGAGTAATATTTATGCAGGAACAAATAAATTAAGTTTGAACCACCATTTCCTCACTTATCATCTGGTATTCACAACACAAATGAATGTTTGCATATTAGAAACTGCAGAACCAAAAGGAAATTGGCAACATTGTGATGAAAATTACTAGAATGAGAAAAGGTTTATTACTGCAATTTTTCAACTCCATTCCCGCAACCCATTTCTAAATACTGGATGGTCAGTGTAGGCACTCATCATATCAATCACTCCAATTCAATATGGAAATAAAAATGAAAATATGTATTTCCTCATTTAAAAAATGGTTTCCGAAGTTTAAAACCCTAAGAAATTAGGGAACTTTAGAAAGATCTTACTCAAATCTTTAATTCAGAGTTAATTCCCCCAAACGTGGAAAACCACAGATCATTTTTCAAAGTCAAAATGGTGGTCTTGGGTGGGGGGGAAGGCCACCACCAACTACCTCCTGCCAGTTCCCCTGCTTTCTCTTCATTGATCTTGTAAGAAGATGTAGGATCATCAGCTAGAATGCACGGGAAGTTGAAAGATAATACCCTCTCCTTAGCCTTTTTTTTTTGGTAGCTGATGGAATATGTTCTCCCTAAGTCTGCTGCCAGAAGTCTAGGGAGAACTTCCTTCTCCCATCAGACCCTGCATTTTGCTCCCTAATATGCTGCTATTATGTGGAGGAAAAGGAGGGAGAAAACCTTACACACCCCTCCTTCTAGGAAGGGAGGAAGTATGTTGGAGGTCCTATTAGGATGTGTCACATTTCCATGAGGCCCCAGAAAGTGGTACTAGAATCCCACAGGATTAAATTTTGTTTTCCATGCTCTTTAACACCTACATCAAACCACAGGATGAGGTCACTTAGAAATTTGGAGTTTGACACCATAAATTTGTGGTATCATAGAAGCCAAATCCTAGGGGCCAAGGTTCGTTCAGCCCCCTCCAATAAAATACTTGAGGGGGCCACCCCAAGTTGATGGACATTGTCATTAAAATGGGCTGCATGTGCTGAATCTTGTGATTGATTATCCAGGGCGGTGCTTACCCCCCCCCCCATTATTTTATTCAAGTTGGCACCCTTGATACATGACAACTCTCAACTATTTCATCTGTCCATGTCACTTCAGGGTCTGCAAGTCCTAAACTAAAGTCTGGAGAAGGCAATGGACTGGGTGTGTGAGCGTGTTATTCCAGACAAGACACAGGTTTTCATGGTCAGTAACGCCAGTTCATAGTTTGGAGATTCCTCTGTAATGGTTTTCGGCCCTCGGTTTCCAGTTGCTGGTTGTGTTCAGTTGGGGCTGGTGCACTTAACTTGCCTGCTTCTAGACAAGACAGATCTTGCCATGGTGTTATATGCCTTAGTTGCATCATATCTGAATTACTGTAACACATTCTTCACCAAATTATCTTTAAATGGTACTCTGAAAGTACAACTTATCCAGAATGTAGTATCCAAATAATTCTTCTTTGGGACTGTTGTTATTTTCTGCTGCTGTCTTAAATTGTTAATTTATTAATTTATTTTCTGTTAGCCGCCGTAAGAGTTTTAGGAAAGCAATATATGCAATTTTAAATAAGCAAGCAGGAATAGAGTTTGAAGACCTGTTATGTCTGCCTCAAGTTTGAGATCGACTTAAACAAACAGTACTTCCAGACCCGGGACGCAGGTGGCGCTGTGGGTAAAACCTCAGTGCCTAGGACTTGCCGATCGTATGGTCGGCGGTTCGAATCCCTGCGGCGGGGTGAGCTCCCGTCTTTCGGTCCCAGCTCCTGCCCACCTAGCAGTTCGAAAGCACACTTAAGTGCAAGTAGATAAATAGGTACCGCTTTATAGCGGGAAGGTAAACGGTGTTTCCGTGTGCTGCGCTGGTGCTGGCTCGCCAGAGCAGCTTCGTCACGCTGGCCATGTGACCCGGAAGGGTCTCTGGACAGTGCTGGCCCCTGGCCTCTTAAGTGAGATGGGCGCACAACCCTAGAGTCGGACACGACTGGCCCGTACAGGCAGGGGTACCTTTACCTTTACCTTATTTCCAGACCCAAGCCTGGCAAAGTCTGTTGGCATGTCTAGTAAACAGTGCTCACAACCCTCTGAACATTAACAATGGAAAGTTCGGAACAACTTTGAACATGTATTCTAGGTTTGTTTTGCTCTTTGGTGTGCCCTCACATCAGGCAATTTGACTAGTGCAAAACAGATAGGGAAATAACTGAAGAACAACTATGTTTCTGTTTGTATGTTTTTTCTATGGCCTTATTAAGCAAATATATATTGATAAAAATAAATATGCACCATTTTATCTTGTGAGGACCATCACAAGAAAAATAAGCCCCAAGGTGTACATATGAAGCGACTATTAGTTTGTGAATTTTTTTTTTAAAAAAGGAAAATATCAAACTGTGAAATTTCTTTAGCCAGCATATGAACCTGCAAACTAGAAAGTTATATGGCATCATTCAAAGAATCTAGTCAGCGGCCAGATGTCCATGCAGTAACAATGGACTTGGGCTCAAGTCCCTTCAGCTTCCCTTATTGCACATAGAATGTAATTTTAATTTAACCATGCTGCATTTATATAGCAACCTTTATAGCACCATTTGGTAGAGGGCTGGATGCAAAGTTGAAAAATAAAAACCACACACAGAATGTCTGACTTTGACATCCATCAGCCACGGTGGCAGGAGTTGGGGGAGATACGGGAAATCTCATATACATTAAATGCAATATAGCCCGGTTTCAACATTACATTCACTGCACCATTGGTATTATTAGCTATGAAGGCATGTGACTGTTTTGAATGTTTTCAGATTTTCTCAGGTGATTTACTTGTGTGTGTAGACACACATAAAAACATACATTTATTATTATTATTATTGTTTGCCACCCTAGGCTCCTTTGAGAAAAAGGGTGGGATAGAAACAACAACAACAACAAAGGATACTTTAGCTGTCAGTAAAAGAAAAATTTACTAACCCCAACATTTGCTACAATTTAAATCCAATCAAGTGTTTTATTAATTTTCCCCCTAATAACCCCCCACCAGTGCTTTTCTAACCTCATGTTGACTCAGAGTACTTACATTAGAGTTTCATTTAATAGGTATTATAAGAGAGGCATATGTTAATTTAAAAGACTCATACCAGTAACTACCTACTTACTGGAAATGTCTAAAGGACTGAGAACTTTCTCTGGGACCTCACTTTCTCCACATGAATGACAAACTGCCATTCAATGAGGGACAGTGTAATTTCACTGGTGACTGATGCCCATTACGGATCACTGCCTCATTTCACTTGTGGTGTCATCGTATGTTCTGGCCGAATTGCTCTCTGGACTGATAGGACTTTAGAAGACATTTACTAAATAAAAACCAAACACATAATAGAAGACTGTCAGTTACACTGTGACATTTACTATACATAAATTCCTAGAATAATACATAATGTTGAAAAATAAGAAACCTGTTTTTTAAAGCCAAAATGAGCTACAATTACAGCCAAAGGGAATTTTACTCTCTGCTTCTCCGTGCCTCTAGAAGAAAGCACAATGGCAGTCCAAGCAAATATTGTTTCCATGTCACATTCACAGTATTTGTTCTAAACATGATTTATTAAAGTTAGATTTTAATGTTTTGTTTTTGTATATAGTACTGCCCTGGGGACCCTTGCTGGGGACAAAAAGGAGTTTATAAATATTATTTATAAACAGAATAAATTTAAAATAATCATATATCAATGTTCTATTATTACACACACACACACATCTTATTTTAAGTAAAATGGACATAGTCATAAAAGTCACTAAGCATGCTTCTCCACATACTTTAAATTTTAATGCAATGTATTTTCTTTAAATAAAATTAAACACAAAATCTGGGCTTTCTGAAATGCAATACAACTTTCCAAACTACAACACACAATTCTTCAAACAGTATTTATTATTTCTTTAGGACAGTCCAAGGGTCAATGAAAGGATTGTACACTACAAGGTAAAGGACCACTATGTTTGACAGGCAAGGAAAAGATGCAGCATTTCAGTCATTCTCTCAGTCTCTACTCACCATGTTCACTCCCAATTGGAGTAGCTTTCCTGATCCAAAACTTTATCCATCTCATACATTTACATTGATATAAAATGCTAACATAATTAACCATGAAAAAATATTTGGGAATTTGGAAGGATAACCTTTTGGGAAGAATAACTACAATAATATTTTCCCACAACAGACTTGGTTATTTGTGCCCTCTTTAATAATTATTTAGCTTGCACTAGTAACACAATAGGAATTGGGATTTCATCCAATATTATAAGCAAAGCAGGGTGCAAATAAGAAAATGCAAAAATTGTGGGTCTGCCACAGAGTTCTTTTGAGGTAGTATAGTCAATTAAGCTGTTATTTATCCAAACAAGTTATATCAAACCAAATTCATGTATTGTAATACCTGAAAATGTGATAGCAAAGGGCATGATTCTAAACTGAAGTCTCTGTTTAAGTGTGTGTATGTTTGTTTGTTTGTGTATGTGTGTATGTGTGTGCTGAACACAAGCACACATATCCTTTTCAGCACTGGCAAGGAGCTCCTCTAACTCCACAACATAACACAATTCAGTTCTGCTAATCTCATTGGATGAATCAAACATCTCCACATAGAGCCCTGATATTTATCAAGTAATGAGAAAATTCACAATGAAACTTGAGAGGAAAATATAATTGCACCCACAAACAGATGGCCGTTTCTGCTGAACAACTGATTCTGAAATCATTCTCTTCTTATTTAGACTAGAAATATGACGAAGGCTTAAATTATTCATTCATAACATTGGCTGTGCTTGATTTGAATGAAGGGGAAACATGAAGAGATTTACATCATCATGCTACCGCTAATATGTATCACATTCAAACAAGCAAATCACAGTTTGATAATTAGTTGTATTATTGTTTATACTATATGTTTAATTTGATCCATGCTCCTGGATATCCATTGTGTTGATATATCTATTTCAGAAGTCGCCTCAGCAAAGACATCTGGAAGCTGTTCTGCCATGGGTTGAGATCCAATTGCCAGAATTCAGGAGCCTCAATTTTCTTTTTTTAAAAACAACCATTTTTCCGTCGGACATGACACTTAGAATGCTGTCTTATTTTAAATGGCCATGAGACATGGATTTGGGTCTCTCTGGCTTCCACTCACTCCAATCCAGTGGTGGCAATAGAGTACTGGGCCTGAAAGAATGAATCCAAAATAATTTGCCACCATGCTAACTATGTTTGCCTGATTATGCCATAACAGGTCCACGGCAGTTGAAACTGCACCAAGTATTTATGAACATGATGAATATCCTGTAAACTATGAACTACATATGCTAAGCATTGTGTTCAACAATCTCATGAAGCACATACAGAAAACACTATATATATGTATATATATATATATATATAATCGCTCACAGTAATATGAATTGTCGTAACTGAAAAGGTACTGATCTAACAATGTAAAATTAAAGTAAGACTAAAACAAACAGCATAAAAACTTTTCAGATTAGCTGAAGTATTCTGCACATATAATGGAACACACCTGATATTTAACTTAATTGGTTGTGGACAGAACACTTTAGCAACGGGGCGTGTGGAAGGCAGCTATATATCCAGAGCAGGGTCAGTGTCTGAGGTCAGCCAGATAGGGTGGTGATGCTGTTATGTGACATGAAGGTTATCTTCTACAAATTGTCTCACAAGACATTTGGCTGTCCTCTCAGGTAGTCATTACTCATTAGAAAATAAGATTTCAACATGCTGAATAAGACATATTATACTGGTGAAGTCTAAAATATTTTTGTTTACTTTTTAAACAATTAGGCAGACTTTAAAGAGTTTATAGAAAGTAGAGTTTGTTGCAATGCCAGTGATTTAATATTTTTATCAGTGAAACAGGAGATGTGCAATAGTAGAGGAAAAGTAAGGTTAGCAATGATAAATCATCTGTGTGTCAATATAGCTGACTGCCTCAGGGATTTAACCATTTTATCATGATTTTGGTGCTTAATAGAATCAGATCCTGATAGAAGGACAGATCCTGAAGCTGAGGCTCCAATACTTTGGCCACCTCATGAGAAGAGAAGACTTCCTGGAAAAGACCCTGATGTTGGGAAAGATTGAGGGCACTAGGAGAAGGGGACGACAGAGGACGAGATAGTTGGACAGTGTTCTCGAAGCTACTAACATGGGTTTGACCAAACTGCGGTAGGCAGTGGAAGACAGGAGTGCCTGGCATGCTCTGGTCCATGGGGTCATGAAGAGTCGGACACAACTAAATGACAACAGAATCATAGAGTTGGAAGGGATCCTGAGGGTCATCTAGTCCAACTTCACCTAGAAGAATTAAGTAAATCAGAATATATTTTTGAAGAATTTGGAATTTCCACTTTCCCATTTCAGATTTTTCAGCTAGATTCTCGTTAGCTAAGTGGAAAATGACTGATGAAATCCCACCCAAACTGCCTTTCAAAGCAGGAATGGCTCAAGACATTTTGTTGCAGGACCCCACTGCCTCTACAGGTCAAGAAGCACAGTACCCTGAAAATGCACAGATTAGAGGAATTCCTGAGCTAGCATATGCAAAATGACCTGGCCAACTAGTGCTGTTGAGAAACAATACAGAGCCATTGAGGGCCATTGGCAAAACAAGAGAACTGTCCTTCCCCAGCAGAGACTGGGGATTTGAAAGGTTGCCAGGGTAACTGGGTGTGGGGTGACAGGAAAATAGAGTCTTTAGAAAGGTGTGCTAGGTAGAATAAGGGGGAGAACAAAGAGTGGGATCCATCTTGGGCAGGCTGGCAGAAGGCTGGCTGGGAAAGATTCCTTTGGTTCCCATGCTATACCACATTAGGCGGAGTTACGCTAAGACCAGACCATGTCATTACCGAGGAGGCAGGTTTAGTCGTTGTTTGAAGACTATCCCTGCCTCCGGGTCTGGCCTTGACTGGATGGATACTGGAATCAACAGGGGAAACCCACATGACCTGAAAGTGTTGCTGTGCAATGCCAGGTCAATGATGAATAAAACCACTGCCATCCACGACTTGATTGTGGATGGAGGATTTGACCTGGCATGTGTGACGGAGACCTGGTTGGAGGAAGCAGATGGGCCTGTCCTTGCCGCTGCTTGCCCACCAGGTTTCTCTTACGCACAGCAACCCAGGTCATGTGGGCGGGGAGGGGGGGTTGCAGTGATTTTTAGGAAGTCACTAGCTTGCACCAGGCATCCTACTGGGAAGATCCAGTTCTCTGAGTGCATGTTCTGGAAGGTGGGCAATAGGGGCAGTACAGGATTCCTTTTGGTGTACCGACCTCCCCGCTGCACCAAGGATTCCCTGTCCGAGCTGCTTCAGGTCGTGGCGGATTTTCTCCTGGAAACACCTAGTTTGGTCGTCCTAGGGGATTTTAACATCCATGCCGACACGACCTTACAAGGGGCCGCTCGGGACTTCGTGGAAAGCATGGCCTCCATGGGGCTGTCCCTGAATAAGTTTGGCCCAACTCATAGTCATGGACATGCCTTAGACCTGGTGTTCACCTCTAGTGACGTGGGTGATCTGACACTAAGTAAAAGTGAAACAAAAGAAGTGCCATGGTCAGATCACTTCCTGGTGCAACTGGACTTCTCTGCGACCCTTCCCCTCTGCAGGGAGGTGGGACCAATTCGGATGGTCCGCCCCCGCCACTTAATGGATCCAAATGGTTTCCAGAGAGTGGTAGGGGATGCTTTAGCCCATGTTGATGGCCTTTCAGCTGATTCCCTGGTGGCCCGCTGGAATGCGGAGTTAACCAGGGCTATCGACTGTCTGGCTCCGAGCGCCCTCTCCGATTGCATGGAGCCCGGACAGCCCCGTGGTTTTCTTCGGAGCTGAGGGTGATGAAACAATCGCTGAGACGGCTAGAGCGTCGGTGGCAGAAAACTCACTCCGAATCTGACTGGACACAGGTTAGAGCTCAACGTCGAGCCTACCAAGTGGCGATAGCGACGGCGAAGAAGACTTTCTTCACCGCCTCTATTGCATCTGCAGAAAATAGTAGCAGGAGACTCTTTCAGGTGGTTCGCAATTTAACGGAACCACCTTTACCACCGGGGCATTGTAAAGACCCCAAGATCTCCTGCAACGATTTTGCAAAGTTTTTTTGCAGATAAAATCACTCATATTCGGAAGGAGCTAGACACCACCGTGGGAGCAGGGCCTGGGCGGGAGAGTGCTAGAGCTCTGTCTGGTCAAGTTGCATGGAATCAATTTCAATCCGTTACCCCGAGGATGTGGACAGGCTGCTTGGACGCGTGAAAGCAACCACCTGTCTCCTTGATCCTTGCCCATCCTGGCTAATAAAAGCAAGCCGGGAAGGGCTGGGCGATGGGCTCTGCGGGGTGGTGAATGCTTCCCTCTGTGAGGGAACATTCCCAGATCCGCTGAAAGAGGCGGTCATTAAGCCGCTACTAAAAACCATCATTAGACCCGGCCAGTATGGCCAACTATCGCCCAGTCTCAAATCTTCCATTCTTGGGCAAGGTGATTGAGCGCGTGGTTGCTGAACAACTCCAGGCACGCCTGGAGGATGCGGACCATTTGGATCCCTTCCAATCGGGATTCAGGCCTCACCATGGGACTGAAACTGCCTTGGTCGCGCTGGTTGATGATCTCCGGCGAGCTAGGGACAAAGGTGAGAGTTGTTTCCTGGTTCTGCTGGATCTCTCAGCGGCCTTTGATACAATCGACCATAACATCCTTCTGGACCGTCTAGAGGGGCTGGGAGCTGGGGGCACTGTTATACAGTGGTTTCGCTCCTTCCTCCTGGGCCGTGTTCAGAAAGTGGTGGGGGGGATGAGTGTTCAGACCCCTGGGCCCTCACTTGTGGGGTGCCTCAGGGTTCCGTCCTCTCCCCCATGCTTTTTAACATCTATATGAAGCCGCTGGGAGAGATCATCAGGGGATTTGGACTGGGTGTCCATCAATATGCAGATGATACCCAGCTCTACCTCTCTTTCAAATCAGAACCAGTGAAGGCGGTGAAGGTCCTGTGTGAGTGCCTGGAGGCGGTTGGAGGATGGATGGCGGCTAATGGATTGAAGTTGAATCCTGACAAGACAGAAGTATTGTTTTTGGGGGACGGGGGGGGGCTGGTGTGGAGGACTCCCTGGTCCTGAATAGGGTAACTGTGCCCCTGAAGGACCAGGTGCGCAGCCTGGGAGTCATTTTGGACTCACAGCTGTCCATGGAGGCGCAGGTCAATTCTGTATCCAGGGCAGCTGTCTACCAACTCCACCTGGTACGCAGGCTGAGACCCTACCTGCCCGCGGACTGTCTCGCCAGAGTGGTGCATGCTCTAGTTATCTCCCGCTTGGACTACTGCAATGCGCTCTACGTGGGGCTACCTTTGAAGGTGACCCGGAAACTACAATTAATCCAGAATGCGGCAGCTAGACTGGTGACTGGGGGCGGCCGCCGAGACCACATAACACCGGTCTTGAAAGACCTACATTGGCTCCCAGTACGTTTCCGAGCACAATTCAAAGTGTTGGTGTTGACCTTTAAAGCCCTAAACGGCCTCGGCCCAGTATACCTGAAGGAGCGTCTCCACCCCCATCGTTCTGCCCGGACGCTGAGGTCCAGCGCCGAGGGCCTTCTGGCGGTTCCCTCATTGCGAGAAGCAAAGCTACAGGGAACCAGGCAGAGGGCCTTCTCGGTAGTGGCGCCCACCCTGTGGAACGCCCTCCCATCAGATGTCAAAGCGATAAATAACTACCTGACATTTAGAAGGCATCTTAAGGCAGCCCTGTTCAGGGAAGCTTTTAATCTGTGATATTTTACTGTATTTTTGTTTCTATGGAAGCCGCCCAGAGTGGCTGGGGAAACCCAGCCAGATGGGCGGGGTACAAATAATAAATTATTATTATTATTATTATTATTATTATTATTATTACTATGGGGAACAAGTCCTGCTTGAGATGACCATGCTGTAAGATCTGGACTCCCTACATGCAGACTGAAGGTGTAAATAGGTAAATAAACTGTATTTTTTAAAGCTATGACAGCCAGAAATACTCAAAGAGAAGGGAGTCCAAGATGGATAGGAGTTTGTAAAAGATGAAATACTGATGTCCCAATTGCAGACAATTCCAACAAGAAATAAAAGTGAGAGGAATCTAAGGAACCTGGTGTGGCTGCATAAGGAGCTTAAAGATGAGCTGAAATTTTAGAATTGCATGTATGAAAAATGAAAGAAAGAGGAAATCTTAAAGGAAGTAGTAGCCAACCGTTACAGGGAGAAGGTCAGTTGGGAGAAAGCTCAGAATGGGTTCAGGCTTGTAAGAGAAATTTAAAAAAGATTTACAAATAAATAAATAAAAACAAATAATATGCTTGAAGCAAGAGGAAGAACAAGCAAGTAGTATATCCTCTGTGTGGAGAAAACGGTGATATGCTATTGGGTGACAGAGAGAAGGCAGAACTGCTCAACATCTACTCTGTCTTCACCCAAAAAGAAAGCAGTTAGTAATAATAGACAGTGTTATTTTTCTAGAAAAATAGGAGCTAGAACTCAAAATGAACGCCTCCCTTGTTCTCTTATATTGGCAATGGTGCCCACCTAAAGGTGCCGGAACTGAGTTCTGGTGAGTACTGGCTGGAAAAAAAGCCTGATAACAGAATAAACAATACAATGAGGAAACTGTAGCCCAAGGTATGAAAAGATGTGTTAAAGGAACACCTAGCTACTTTAACTGAATTCAAATCTCCAGGGCCTGATGAGCTGCACCCAAGCATACTAAAGGAAGTCTGATCAAGGATGCAGAATCTTAGTGTGCTTGTTTGAGAGTACTTAAATGATTACACTCTGTAAATCAAAAGCATGCTATATTAATGAATCATTTTGAGAGCCAACAATTGTTTTTTAAAATATCAATCTTTATTACTCAAACTTTAGAATAATTTTCAATGTATTTTTCCTCATGTTTTTATGTTATTAAGATAGTTTTGTTATATTAAGCACAGACAATATATTATTCAGTGAAACTGCATGCTTGTATTTCAGAAGCATCTGTTAATTAATGCAGTTCTATATGATATATCATGGATAGTATTGGATTCTTATTTGGAAAACTGCTTTTATTCATTTCCATTTGTTGTTGCGAATTTTGGTTTTGTTTAAGCAGTGTATAAATAAATGAAATATATACAAATATTGTTCTTGAAAGAAGAGACCTATTCTGTCTTTGTGCAAAGAACAGAAGCTTCTGCGTGTGTTTTAAAGAAGCACTATCTATTCCACTTCTTTTAACTGACATTTTTAGCCCGTTATTATCCCTAATATACTCCACTGAGAATTTTCTCCTACTGAAGAAGGGGGGAGGACACTAGCCAAAGGCATCCCCCAACCCCTCTTGCCTTCTAAGCTTGCTCACTAATCAGAGCTAGGTCAAATGGTCTTCACATGAAAGCATCTAACAAGGTCCCAAAGGAGGACTCCCTTTAGTGGCAGCAACTAAAACACTGCTCCTCTTCAGAGAGGAGAAATATGGACTTCCTCCACTCAAGTGAAGGGCTGATACATGCCACTTTGAACCAGAAATATCCATAGATGCTTTTTGAAACTCAACTATTATTCTGAAAATTAAGTCACTAAATCTGGCAATTCTGAATATTTTAGTGAGACTGTGGATGAGAAGAATAACTAAGCAAATATAACGTCTGCTTTTTGGCACAGATGCCAATAAATGCACCAAGAATCCATTAAATCAGCACCAAATCAATCATATATTGTTTATTGTTTCCACACACTTTCATAAAAAATTAATAAAACCATGATTCCCTTATGTTTTTGTTTGCTTCATTGTTTATGTCAAAAATAGAATGACTGAAACTGGATGGTCTAACATGGGAAGCGTACGATAGTTTCATAACAACAAAGAGCTGAGGTGTGGACAAATAAGATTAGATTGGATAAAGTGGAAGAAGCTAAGTAGTTAAGTTATTTGACTGCTATGCAGGGATAGATGCCAAATTCTGATAATTAGAATTGTTTACTTGTAACAAGGAGGATTATATCAATTAAATAGACAAATGGTATCAAAATTGCATGAAACCACTGGCTTGCAGCTGAGGCTTTGGTTCTTTCACACAAAGAAAGGAACATATACACAGATCAAACTGCTGCATCATTACTCTTGCTGTGTTTGCTATCTTCAAGTCCAAATGGCTTGTAGGATTCTTTAGTCTTATGCACCACAAATACATTTCCCTTCAGTTGCATATAATTATCCACATACTTAAATAAAAACCCTTAAATTATTAGTAGACTTTCAAATCATTCATTTTTATTCATTCATGCATGCATGCATGCATTCCATAAAATGTATACTCTGCTTGACTGTAAAAAACCTCAAAGCAGTCAAATTCCTCTTTTTTTTACAAGTCATTGATCAAGTTAGATGACTATTGTAATATTCACATAGTAAAATAATTTGAGAACAATGAACTATTTAATAACTCTTTTTGATGTGAATATTGAGTGTGAAAGTCATTGATGACACTTTTTCCATTAAAAAATATAATGAAATCAGGTTGGAAGCCAGCTTGGACCAAGTCTGCTACTACTTATGTTTGCCTCAAACTATGAATTTAAGCCGGGAGATTTCATGTGTACATGAAAGTCCCTTATGCGGAGTAAGGTCACTAATCTAAATACTCTAGCACTGCCTACCCTGGTTGTCAGCGGCTGTCCAAGGTCTCAAGTATAGATCTTTCATGTCTTCTGCGTGAGATCCTTTCACTGAAGTTACAGTGATGAATCCTGGTACCTTGCATATGGAAATCACATGCTTAGAACTGACTAACCTTTCTTCTGTATTTCTGTATGCTTAGCTCTAATGAAAATTTGGACAGCTTTTTTTTTGCAGGATGGACTATTGCCACCTTGACATATTTTGGGAATAGGCTAAAAGCCTTTTCGTTTACCCAAGTTCTTTCAGAGTAGTAATATTCATCGTGTAGATTACTGGGCACTGTGAAGCTGTAGAATTGTCTCCTATGCTGTTTTAATTCTGTTTCATTGTGTATTACATTCTTTTTATTCTTTTGCACACTGCTTTGCGATTTTTAAATACAAAACCAGTTCAAAAATATTTAAATAAATAAAATATAGACACTTGCTTATTTAGCTGATAATATATGTACAATACACCAACTGTGCATTCTCAGAAGATTGGCATGGATGTAGCCAAGGAATTCCCAACATCCACAATGAGAAAGCAAAACTAATGCAGACTTCAGGCAGTTTCCGTAGTTTCTATTAAGCATTAAAGTCTTTTCCCGATTTACGGTCAATTTACTGTGGTTGTAAAAGGCCACAAATTGAAGAGCAGTGATAATGTACTTAAGAAACATGATTCCTTCCCAGATCAATCTACAGCTTGGCATTTATTCTCCAAGAAAGATCATCCATAAAATTGTGTCTAGCATACACAGGAATGGAGCCCAGGTTGTGTTCCATACTTTTACAGAATAGTGCTAATCTGTATTAGGGCAATGCCTTTATTAGGCCTACCAATGTGCAAACTTTCCAGTTCCACTGAAAGCTGTTCAGCAAGCTAGTGTCACAACTCCCAAGCTAGCTTCCTAGTGAAATCAGAAACACAGAGAGCTCCTGCTAGTTCTTTTATTTAAATCAACAGGATACACATAGAGACCATGGATTATGCTCTCTTCAGTCTCGAGACGATGCTCAGAGTGCCCCCTCCACCCCCTTGTGGCACTTCCTAGCTTCCCAACCCCTTCTTGCTGCCTATGGTGGATGGCAACGGACTCTTTCTGTCTGTTTAGCCTTCTGCTCCAAGATATGAAGAGATCTCCTGGTCTGTGAGGAAGGAGAAGATTTCACCAGGCTTTCAAGTGATGTCGTGTCCACTGTATGCTGTACTCTTTCTCCGAGTGTCTGTTCAGGACTAGAGCATCTGCTAGCTTGCTCCTGTTCCTCATCTTCCATGATTTCCCAGCTCTTTGCTTCTTCCTCTGGGGTGTGTCCTGTTAGCCACCACCATGAATCTGGGTCCACTGTATCCTCATCTTGCTCCTGCTCGGACACTTCTTGAGGTGGAGGTCTCTACCACTCCTCCTCTGCCCAGTCCCTGACATCCCTGACAGCTAGATGGTAAACAAGTGAGCTGCAGTTGGGAATGGCTGGTGCTAAAGCCAGGAGTTGCATCTTGTAGGAGTCTAAAGGTGGAATGCAGGAGGAGGTAGCAGACATTCAATTGAGATTCTGAAGACAAATACACAAGCTCCTTGGTAGATTACCAAGAAAATTAGCTTTCTGCTTATTCTAGTTCTTCGTCTATCAGGGAACCGCCCTGCAGTTTCTCTTTAGTTTCCATAATGCAATCTGAAACATCATTGCTATCTCCTGGCAAGTTCCATCTTAAGATTCTTATTAAATCAGACTCATGGTTGTACTGGTAGCAAACTTTCTTTCTCTTCTCTCCCCTTTGTGTTTACCATCTAGCCTGATGTTGAGTTCTAGAGAATTTGAAAGCCTGCACACTATTTTGTGACTTATAAAGGCATTGTCCCAATATGAATTTCTGCCATTTTTCTTATGGGCCAACACAACTTCCTTTGTTGGGGGGGTAAATACATTAAAATTTCCAAATATGTGGCAGTGCTTCTTTCTCCTAGAGTTGTTGTTTTTGTCCTCCCTCTGTGTAATACTACATCATTATGCACTGTCATTCTGGAGGTTGCTCTGGAGGAGCCCATGGTGAAGGGCAGCATTTGTGTACAGAATCCCTCTTGGAATAATGCCGCATAATGACATAATGTCAAACAAAGGGTTTTTTTTGGGGGGGGATGGGGGAATCATGGCCACCAGCTGCCACAAGTAGTACTGCTGCTAAGAAACAGGGCAGTGACAGCAAAAATGTGTGTATTGTTGGACCAGTTTCAGACGTACCATGGATGAAGAGAGTAATGTTCCCAAATACCAGTTTCTGGGGATGACAGTGCAGGAGAATGTTCTTGTGCTCAGGTCCTGCTTGTTATTGTTTCATCCTCCATCTCCCCAACCGCATAATTCCACAATTGCCTAGCCTAAACACACACGAATAAAACTAAGCTATAACAACTCAGAAAGTGATTTGAGATTTAGAGGCTCTTAAGTTTCTTCCTCTTTTTAGTACAATACAAAATACCCTATAAATATATTGCAATGATGTGGTTAAAGCTATTCAGTATAATTATCTGCTCTATAAATACTAAAATATTTATACCAAACAATAGACTAGACATAATATTAATTATTTCCAAATATTAGAACATATATACTCACACCCTTTCCATTTTTATATCATATAATTCTATAAATACATGTAGTCTATTCCTTGACCTGAGCTTCTTAGTTCCTTCTTGACATACTCAGTTACTAAACTCCACCTGTCACTCTCTTCCGTGGCCTTTTTCCTCCTAAAATAAAGCTGTTAGTTTGACAATATTGAGTTTTCAGCTCTGCCTCCACAGAGGCATTATGTTTCTAAATACTAGTTGCTGGAAAACACAGAGTGGGAAAGTGCTCATGCCCTGTTTGTGGGCTTCACACGGCATCTTGTTGTCCACTGTGAGAAATGGATGCTGGACTAGATAATAGAATCATAGATGGGCTATTATGATTATAGAATCACATCAGGCTGTTCTTACTTTCTTATGAGTTGCTCCCATAATTTCCTCAGATGACCCACTTTATTTGTCCATTGGTGTTTGTCCAAGCTCTCACATACTTTATCCTAGCAAATGTTATACTATAGAAAGCTTGGATCCAGTGGGAACTCATATCCAATACCTCTAAAGTACATTAAAATCACACTTCCTCCAACAAATAATTCTGGGAACTGCATTTTTCACCTCCTGTCTTCTTAAAGGTTTGGGGGATCAATTCTGCCTAGAAGCCTTTTGCCAGAAGAATCAAGACTTCAAACCAAGGTTGGGTGGTCATCTGTCATGGGTCATTTAGTTGAGATTCATGTATCAACTAAATACGGGAAATAGAAATGTAGAGTTGGAGTCCCTTCCAACTCTCCATTTCTATGATTCTATGTAAGCGAAACCTATTTAGAGGTGATACCTGCATATATTCTGAGTCACTCGTTTTTTCACATTACATACTTCAGTACTGACGTCTGATCCTGAAAACATACAAACTAGGACACACTGTTCCCTACTCTAAATCAAGCCTTCCTTGTAACACTTGGGCTACATTGCCATGTACACTTTCCTGGGAGTAAGCTTCTGTGAACGCAATGGAAATTTCAAGCAATGCATAGGATTGCACTGCTAGTAATGCAGTTCAGAAAAGTCTTTACTTATACCTTTCCCTTTCATCTCTTAATACAGTGGTGCCTCGCAAGACGAAATTAATCCGTTCCGCGAGTCTCTTCGTCTTGTGGTTTTTTCGTCTTGCGAAGCACGGCTATTAGCGGCTTAGCGGCTATTAACGGCTTAGCGGCTTTAAGAAAAAGGAAACAAACTCGCAAGAACTCGCAAGACGTTTCGTCTTGCGAAGCAAGCCCATAGGGAAATTCGTCTTGCGGAATGACTCAAAAAATGGAAAACTCTTTCGTCTAGCGCGTTTTTCGTCTTGCGAGGTACCACTGTACTAACAATTTGAAAAGGCATCTCAGGTACACAAACTTGTGATTACCTAACTGTGAGGGCTGCAGGTCTTCATGTCATTCTGCAGCATTTGCCTCAAGGGAACTACAAATGTCAGGAAGATGCAAAAATAGTCACAGTGTGAAATAAAATGGATTCAGGAAGTTTAGAAGTCATCATTTAAAAGCTTCTCATGCCAAGCAGTTCAGCTGAAAACAGGTCTGCAATATAGTTTAGAAGATCTAAGTGAGGCACAAGAGACTGGAAATCTGATAATGATTTTATGGGCTGGCAGGCTGTCCTGGAATACTTAAAACATTCTGTAGATGCCAAAGAAACAGAAAAAAAGTCGAGAGACAGCCATAAGTATTATAAATGTCTGATCTGTGAAGAATTCAGAGGAGAACGCCAGTTCATGTTTGGAAAAATGTACCCTGTGATCTCAACGTCTTTGAATTGAAGGGGGGAAAGGGGTATCAAAAGACTAGGTTTATCACATTTGCCATTTGGGACTTCACTAATCAGTAGAGGAAAACTGAAGTACCTTCATCTTTGCACAGACTTGCCACTAAAATAATCTCTATAACACCTACTGCTCTGATAGAAAGCACACTTTAGCCCAACACAGCTTTTAAGGCTGCACAGTTCAAGAAAACAAAGCACTGCTATTTCTGTTGGTACTTTGGGTTCCCAAATCCCCATTTGTAGTTTTCTGAAAAATCTATATTTTACCCCATTTCTTTTTCAGCATTTAGAACTTATGCACTTGCCCAATCTAATGCCAGAAGTTTCACAGATTGTTAACAATGTTTATTTCTATATTACTACTCAGGCTGTATGATGGCTAAAACAGTGGTTTGCCTCTCCTAAGTATATGTGTATTTGTTTCAGTTAGGTAAATGTATAGTTTGGAACACAGCCAAACAAAAAAACAAACATGCCTTAATTGCCTTCTAGCGTATAAGATACTAGCAAGAAGAAGCCAAAATATTGGTGCAGTTTTAAAAGGTTGGTTGTCACCTGGATTCAAAGTCTAACCACTGGAGAGTTACAGCGCTTGCTGTAGATGTAGAGACCAAAACAAGAGAAGGCGTCATTTAGCTGCTACAAATGCACCATGGTGTTTCTTCTTTCTGTGCTCCTCCCAGTGGTCATTTCTCCTCTGGTCACTGCTGTGAATATATGACCTAACTCTGTCTCCAGGCACTGTGGTCATCTGCAAGGGATCCCCACATGGCGAGGTTAATTTTGTCAGCCTTCATGCCACATTTGCAGACATCTTTATAACACAGAGTTGGTCTGCAAACAGGCTTGGTGCTTGAGGCCAGCTCCCCATAAAGCGCATGCTTCGGGATCCTGCCATCTTCCATTCTGTGTACATGACCAAGGCGGCATAGACGTAGCTGAGACAGAAGTGTGAAAATGCTGGAAATGTGGGCTTGGAAGAACACATCTTTGTTTGGGACTCTATGTGATGCCCAGAATCTCCCTGACACAGTGCATATGGAAGGCATTTAGGTGTTGCTCCTTGTGGGTATAAGTTGTCCATGACTCACTTCCATAAATTAGTGCTCAGCATATAAGCCAGGTACACCTTCAACTTGGTACTGGTCGTTAACATCACATTCTTCCATACCCTTTTGGAGAGGCAAGCCATTACCGTAGCTGCCTTACCAATATGCTTCTCCAACTGAGCATCAATGGAAAGGTTGGTGGTTATGGTGGAGCCCAGGTAGACAAAGTCATCTACCAGCTCAAGCATGTGGTCACCAGTACTGATGTGTGGAGTGCTGGTGACATGCTGATCCAAGTTGTTGGTATCCATCAGGCTGCTGGTAACTCCACGCAGGCTTGGGGAAAATGTTTGATGAGTCTCTGAAGGTTCCTTGGAGTGCACTATCAAGGCTGCAACATCTGGAAACAAAATCTCACAGATAAGAACCCACTACACTTCTGTCTTGGCATGAAAATGTGCTAGGTTGAATAGACCTCTGTCGCTCCTTGAATGGAAGTACACATTGGCTTCAGCTGAACTGAAGGCATAGGAAAGCAACAGGGAGAAGAATATGCCAAAGAGAGTTGGGGTGAGAACACAGCCCTGTATCCCACCATTCCCATCAGGGAGTTGCTCTACCAGAAAAATAAATAAAAACAATTCACTTGACGTGATGATCCCATTTTGCCATCTTTCTACTAAACTTACTGTTTAGAGAAATATTCATTGTTGCTTATATAATGGAATTAAATTATAAAACATAAAATTCACTCAATTAGTTTTTAATGAAGTATTTGTAAGAACAAGAAATTGTATTTGATTTGCATTTTGGAAGTTTTCATCATCTAACTTTTTGGGGAATGACTATATATCTTCTAAATAAATAAATAGAATATTAATTTTAGCTGCTTGAGTTCTCTTAGATGTTTGCAACAAGAATATTGCAGCATTTGTTCCCAACAAAAAATAGCATGAATATATCTTTGAATATGGAAGATTGAAAGGTAAATATTATGAAGATAAAAACAATTATGGTGCATCATTAATATAAAATTAATAAGCCTAGTTGAGGATGTGTTTGCTGCACACTATATTTCATTCCCTATGATTAAATCATCTGTTTTTATAAGTTATGGAATTATAGCATATCTTACCTTAATTATACTTTTACTAAAATGAAATGTCAAGTCCTTTATTCATGATTTAGAAACCATAGGCTATAAATGCAGAAGGGGTGTGTGTGTGTGTGTGTGATGTATTCCTTTACTCAACACAGTGTGTGATTAACTCATTCTTACCATTCAAACAATATGGCCCCAATTCAGATAAGTATTTTATAAACTAAAATTGCAGAATAGGAGTCTCCTATACAGCATCACATCTCAAGTAGATTTGTCTGAAAAACATTGATTTGTATCTAACTAAATCATACTCAAATTAGACCCACTGGAATCAGTATACCCAGTGAAGTCCACTGGGTAGTATGCATATTAGTGCTACTCAAGAATAGACTCACTGAAATTAATGAACTTGACTAGATTAGGTTCATTCATTTCAATGGGTATGTTCTGTAAAATTTATTTGAAAAACCACCCATTGATTCCAGTAAGTCAACTCTGAGTATATTTTAATTAGATACAATGCAATGCATATAGACATGTATCAACAAAACTCCAACAGCCACTTCTCTGAAGAAAAACCAGCTTCAGCAAGCTTAGGTTGTACCACAGATTTCAAGGGCACCCACAAAGCAGCAACTTTATCAATCAACAGGTGTAGGGCAGGTGAGCATGGTTTGACCCAAAAGCCTGACAAGCCAAATGGGGGGTCTGGTGGAACTAATTAGACATTCAGGCTATAGTTTTTCTGCCACTAAACTAATGAATGAATGAATGAATGAATGAATGATTATGGTCATAGACCAATAAAGCTGAAGTATATGATAAGGATAGGCCCTCAATCTAAATTAAAAGCTGAAGTTTTGGATCATATGCAGAAAGGCTTCAACTGACCATATCCTCATGGTAATACCTGTTTAATCATCACCCATTGTCCACTCTCCTGACAAAAATACACATTCCCAGGGAGTAAAACTCTCCCTTCAAATTTCTATTCATTGTAATTTAGCGCAGCACAGGAGTTGAACTCAGACCTCTTTGTGTTTTTCAAGTTAGGACCTTTTGATGTAACTGGCTGCAGAATGTAGCAAGGGTATTCAACTAACTTGTACTCACAGTAGACCCACTGGAACTAACAGTCATGTCCATTCATTTCAGTTGGTCTAATTTGAGTTGAATGACTTAAATTTGGTTCATTTTCATGTTTCTTCCCTAATGTTAATATTAACCACTTTGAACTTTCAGAACAGTCCTTTCTTGTATATGGGCATCATTCTTAAACAACTAACTTTCTGAAAAAGCCCATTCTTGTGTTGTTGCTCTCTGCAGTTCCCTCTAAGGGCAAACATTTAGAAGGTCTTCTAATGCAGAATGCAGGACCTGGGTTGGATCATGTGAGAGACAGTCTTGAGATATTGGGATCCTGAGCCACACAATGCTTTATAGGTTGAACCATTAAGACCAGAAACTAATTGGTAGCCACTACAGGATGTGGGTGGCGCTGTGGTCTATACCACTGAGCCTCTTGGGTTTGCCAATCAGAACGTCGTCAGTTCGAATCCCCACGACAAGGTGAGCTCCCGTTGCTCGGTCCCTGCTCCTGCCAACCTAGCAGTTCGAAAGCATGTCAAAGTGCAAATAGGTAAATAGGTACTGCTCCAGTGGGAAGGTAAATGGCATTTCCATGTGCTGCTCTGGTTTCACCAGAAGCGGCTTAGTCATGCTGGCCACATGACCCGGAAAAACTGTCTGCGGACAAAAGTCGTCGGCTCCCTCGGCCAGTAAAGCAAGATGAGCGCCACAACCCCAGAGTTGTCCGCGGCTGGACTTAACGGTCAGGGGTCCCTTTACCTTTACAGTTGTGCCAAAATTGGTTTTATATCCTAGCAGGACCTGGCTGCGGATTTTTGCACCATCTTACAGTAATCTAGCCAGGAGGTTATCAGAGTGGAAGCAACAGAAAATTGGCCACCCCTGTCCAGATAGAGGTGCAAGTGGAGCACCAGATGATGCTGATGGAAGGGACTTTGCAGCACCGAAGCCACTTGAGCCTCAAGTGACAGTAATAGATCCAGAAGTACCAGAATACCCAAGCAACATACCTGCTCTTACAGAGGGAGTGTAACCTTATCCGGAACAGGCCACATCCCTCTCTCTGGGCTTCCTGCCAAATGTACTATTCTCAGTCACTCTCATACTTACAAAGCCAGACAATAATGGTTGTCAGTACCTGAAGGGGTTAATCTGTACAGTTCATTCCTTTGAGAATATAAATGGAAAAAAGTTCTGGATGCTAGAGGTAATATTTCAACCTCAGATTTTATTACACACACTTTCATTGCTAAGCATAGTGTGTCCTGCAGAACTGGAGAAAATTACGATCTCTTGTTCACAAAGGCTTGAATCCTTCATCACTCTCATAATCCCTCCGTAAGACATAGAAAATCACTTCCATCATCTCCATAACACTGTTAATTTTTCATAGTGAATGTCTTTTTTTATTGCTCATTTAAGAAAGGTGCCAAGATCACAGTTATTACTTATTAGCCCAAACCAGTTTATTACTGAGTCTAAAATACCAGGCTCCCGTTCTCTTGCAATGCACTACACATACACACTGCTACATATCAGCCATTTTATAATATTTTACAAGTGTTGAGAGACAGGAGACCTAGTGTAAATCCAAATGTGAGTATATATGCTGTACACACACACGCAATTTAAAATACATATATTTATAAACAGACATACAAACGTTAACCAATCACTTTAAAACTAGAACAAGTCTCTCATACATAGTTTTGAGTCTTGATTATGAAATAACTGGAAAAAATGCTATGTTGAGAACATGCAATAATCTGTGCTGTATTTTAAAAGTGTTTATATTATATACACTTTTCTAGGTTTGCATTTCAAGGGGAAAAGCAAAATTAAGTGTGTTTAAGTAGCGATCCAAGACATGGGTTTAGATACAACATTTACGTCAAATGTATAAATTTCTCTTATGTGCAGTTTCTATCCCACAAATTCCTTAATTATATTTGTTTTGGTTTTTTAAAAAAAAAAACCAAGGATAGAATCAAGCCAAAGCTATGAGTTTGGAAATGAAGATAAATTTCCCAAATGAGTCACTTCAGGTTTTGATCATGCTTAAAGAAGAGGAAGAGGCAAACAATGACTGCTTGTTCTCAAACACAGGTAGTGATTGCTAATTTAGGTTAGGTTTCACATACCTTCCTTCCTTCCTTCCAAAACTAAACTTAAAAAAAAAAAAGTTTCTGTGTTCCACCTCCATTCCCTGATGAAGCCAGGTGGCAATCCAAAAGTAAGTTAGCCTTTCCAAATGCTTAATATCAAACCGGGACTAAATCAATCTAGAGCACTTGTCATGGCTTTGCAAGTCACTGCAGCTAAGCTATTGACATGAGTGGAATTGTATGTCAGCCTGAGTTCCACGGCCTGGCAAAACTGAGCTAAATAAAAATGAACTCCCTGTAGCAAAAATTGCTATAAATGTGTTTTTTGGTGGAAAGGGGGATGGATTATATCATCCAATCTATAAAGAATTGCAGCATAAGGATGAAAGTAATTCAGAAAAAGACATGAACATTAAAAGTATAATCACCCCTGCATTTCTAAATAACATCTGGGACAATGTTACTGAGAACAGACTTAATGGAAAGCTAAGAACTTATTGCATATTAACACAATGGAAAGCTAAGAACTTATTGCATATTAACACAACTATACAAGAATGCCTGCTTTTGCTTTCTAAGTGACCTTACAATGAGCTTTCAATCCAGGTGTTGAGGGAACAGAACTGACACATCCTAGGCTTTCAAGACTTTAATGATGCCCAGAGCTTTCATTTTCCTTTACACTTTGACAACAGAAAACATGGCCTCCTTATGTACAACATAAAACCTTATAAAGCATCCAGCTGTTCACTCCCTAGTGATTCTTGCTTCTGCCGACAGTGCTGTAACAGTGTCAGATTTTCATGACAACACCACTGAATAGCGGTATCATATCTGAATGTGTGCAGTGGGCTTGCCTTTTCTCTTTCTGCCTGTGTGTATATCAAATACACAGACAGCCGCTTTATTTCCCAATGGTCTAAACCGGCAAAATAATACTTAACAGTAGCCCATTTTTACACTGATCCATGAGAGTTTTCTTGTCACAATATTGCAAGATATAATCCTTTGTTTTCTATCATCTCTTGTAAAGTTGTTGTTAACAATACAAACGGACACATCATCTCTGTTTCCTGCTCACTAGATAGTAGGTGTGTATATAGCCTATAAATATAGATACACACACAAACACACACTCTTAGAGAAAGACCTCAGAGATGTAAGTTGTCTATTCAAGCTCAATATCACACTAATAGTCATACTGAAGGCCAGATGCCCTTGAAAAAGTTTGACTTTTGTTGTTGCTTTTTAAAAACACGCCTCCAACAAACTAATTTACCTAACAGACCTTTTAAAAGGTCATCTTCCTGGAGATTTTTCTTTCTTTCTTTCCAAATCTGCTATCCTGTTCTTCATCTCAAAATCTTGGAAATCTATCAGGAAAAATGAAACGGTCTTTGCCTGATGCCAATAGAATAAGAGAAGACTCAACACCAGACATGCCTATCTGGGCTATGTGGGCTTTTGGGGGCAGGGGGGCAGGGGATGTTTGCTAAGTTGGCACCATTCCTGAAAAACTCTGTTACTCTGGTCCAGGCTTCAGAAGACACAGGCACTTGGAGAAAGGCCTCAGTGGATAAGCTCAGAATATGGAAGATTCATGTAGGCATAAATAGTTATTACAATGTCCCAAGCCATGGAAACAAGATCAATAATGCTTGGTGTACTGGAGGATTGGTGGGCAAGAGCTTAACAGTTACCAAATTGGAGCAATTAATTTCACATTCAGGATAGTTTGGCAGCACCCGCACAATACTATGATCTAAAATAATAGGAAATGCATGTTATTTTTAATGCAGCATTTGTTACTCATTGACCTGGTACTGACCATTATATCTCAGTTTTAAAAGCTGAAATATATACAAGCATTTTCTCCAGACATTTGTTCCTGGCAACACCTTTTCCATCCTACCTTTTTAACACCAGGAAGTTTCAAATAACCATAGTTTCTCATCATGTCTGAACCTGGTTTGAAATTGTT